TCCTTCTATCCTCCTTGGTCATTGTCCAACTCTCTGATAGGAATACTCTACCATAATATCTCCATTTTATACATGAGGAAATTGAGCACTCTAAAGTCAATAACAAGGTCATTCATAATCTCTTAAGTGGCAGCAACCAATTTCAAACATTAGCAATCTTGACCCAGAATTCAGTAACTTAACTATTAACATTTTCCTCAATTCAGTACTGCCTGTATCAATTTCTAGTCATTGGATGTAAGTGTGACAGATGAAAACTTAAATCTTGAAGACCAGGCACAATGTTAATTTCCTTAGCATACCATTTTTAGTTTCTACAATGTGGAACTATCAACCTTTCTGACATTATCTTGTTAGTTATATTCCTGCCCCAATAAATAACCACTGTCTACCTCAATCCTTCCATTTTCTCTTTCTCTTTGCTGTTGTGTCAGAACTGACTCACGGCTGACCCTCCAGTGGGTTTCCGAGGTTATACAGATTGAATGAAGAGACCATCTTTCTCCCTTGGAGAATTTTAACACCAGAGGTGTGATTTTGGCTGAGATCAAATAATCAGGTGACTAAAATCCTTATTTTTAAATGTCACTTTACTCACCCTTTCCATTACATTATAGGTGCTGTTGCTGTTGTGTACTATCAACTCTGAACTTACCCACAGCTGACTCTCTAGTGGGTTCAGAGACAGGAAATCACATGGGAGGAGACTGCCTATCCTTCTCCCATGAAAAAGCTGGTGGATTCGAACCATCTGCCTTTGGGATTGCAATACAGCTTTTTATCAGCAGGCTACCAGAGCTCCCTACATATACAAATTACCACAAATACATAACTACAAATCGTGCAAGAACTTTTTTCTTCAGTAGTTGCAATAAACAACTGCAACTTGACCACAAAGATGAAAGATACATAAAAAATTCTGTAGTGGTAAAGGTCATTTAATCATCAAATCTGAACTTGAAAGTTATTTCTTACTATAAAGACTCAAGGCAGCTCTGGTGGCTTAGTGGTAAGAAATTGTGCTAGCAATTGAAGGGCATATGGTTCAAATCCACTAGCTGCTCTGCAGGAAGATGGGCAATCTCTTCCTGTGTGATTTACTGCCTTTCAAAACACACTAAAATGTCAGCTAAGATTTGGTTCTAACTTGAAGGTACCCCACAACAGCAACATAATGATTCAAGACTATCCTAAAAAGTTACTTATTGCCGTAATTATTGTTGTTGTTAATGTGTTGTCAAGTTGAATCCAACTTCTAGTGACACTATGTACAACAGCTCTGAACCCTGCTCTATCTTGAGTCAACATCATTGTCTCTGATGCACCTACCCCTATTACTGCAGTTACTAAGAGTCAATCCATCTCATCCAGGCTATTACTTTCTTGAGCTGTCCATCCACCCTTCTAAGTATGATGTCCCTCTCCAAGGACTGGTTCCTCCTTGCAACATGCCCAAAGTATGTCAGACGAAGCT